GTGGTGGGGGGCGAGGGGCAGCAGACGGGCGAGAAGCCTCGAGTGGTCGCGCTGGGGGGCGAGGGCGGCATTGATGGCCGACATGACGACCTCGGACAGCTCACTCAGCACTATGGCGTACTCAGCCAGCACCAGGTGACGATGACGGCCGTCCCTCTCGGTTGCTGTGGGTATGCGGGCGATGGATGGGGCCGCACCGCTCCGCAGCAGCACACGGATGGTGGTCTTGTGCTGGCGGATCCGTCTTGAGTGCCACTCGCCCAGCGCTTCTCCCTGTCCATGCTGCTGCTGCTGCTGCTGTTGGATGACGATTCTGAGCATCTCGGCAGCGACGGCGAGTGGTGTCCGATGAGGCTGGGGGGGCCTTCCTCGGTTGATGTCATCGGCTGTGATCCGGCGGCACAGCCACTCAGCCAAGATGGCGGAGCCAGCTTTTGCTGCCAAGTGCAGTGGCGTGTAGCCGATGGTGTCTCTTGCCGTCATGTCGGCTCCGTGGCTGGTGATGAGGGTGAGGTACTGATCGATGAATTGCTGGGAGAAGGTGGAGGGGGCGGTGGCTGCCAAATGGAGCAGACTGTCTCCAGCAGCGGACCGTTCGGCTGCGAGAGTGCTGTCGTGTTGGATCAGCCTGCGATAGATGGACATGAGGGCAGCCTCGTACTCACGAGTGGGTGGAGGGGCAGCACCACCGACGCAGGGAAGCTCCATCACCGGGCCCCAAATTCCCCGCACGTCGGCCTGACGCGCCAGGAGGACCTCCACAGCCGTCATATTGCCCGCACCAACCGCCACTCTGATGGGCCTGTCCACCCCCATCAGCTCGCACCCGCCGCCATTGATGTCCGCCCCGCCGTCGATGAGTGCACTGAGGATGTCACGCTGCAGCTGAAGGGAGGACCACTGTGGCGGGACGACGGGCACCTGGGAGTTATCAGCGCCGCGCGCACGGAGGAATGGATAGTTTATTGGGCTGTCGATTGCGAAAGACAGGCAGCTGTATCGCCAGCGCCAGTAAGGGGGTCCTGTGGCGCCGCGGACAAGAAGGGCGCCGATGGCTCTCGGGTTGGCTCCTTGCTCGATCAGCTGTGTAACTTGGCTGACGTGAGTGAAGCTGCGGCGAGCGCAGCCCTCCAACAGCTGCCGACTCACAGCACTCACGCCCGGACTAGGAATAATGATGTCGACGTCGTCCAGCCCCTTACAGCCGGGCGGCAGAGGAGGAGGTCCTTGTGATGCGGCAGAGGACGATTGGGCCATTACAATGAGTCACAGCCCTGCACATACACATACACACAGACTCACACGGTCACTTGCAAATCCTTCCTCCTTCCAACGTTGCTGGCGCACCTGCTCAGTCAGTCGGCGGCCGCCACAGCGAAGCCATTGACGGCACCTGCAGTGAGAACACACCGAGAGATGCCACCCAGCCAGTGGTGCTTTGCTTTTCCGTCACATGCCCTTCATCGGTCCATTCATACCATCAGCAGGTGAATCGGCAGCCCAAGCAGACTCCAAAGACAAACGCTGCTTCTCCGTTTGCTGCTTCACAGACGGGGCAACATCTGACAAAGCGGCAAACAGGGAGGTCACGCCTGTTCGGTTTTTTCGTTTGATTGCTTCCTTACAGTGTCTGCTGACGTGGACAAGCTGTGAAAGAGCCGTTTTGCTCCGCTTTCTGCCTCTGCCCACACCTTTTCTGCCTCTGCCGCCTGCGAGCTTGGTGGCGCGCAAGACGTGTTCATCCAGAAAGGAAAGAAAGGTCAACCGCGGCCTCCCGCCTGCTGCTCCATCCATAGCAACTCATGAAGGTAGGTTCCAACCGCGACAGAACAAGAGGGTTGTCTCCCCTTTCATGTATCTACTTCTTCAATTGTTAACACAAGAGAGAGAAGCAATCGCTTTAGATCTTTCATTGGTTTGCAGGCGTGTTGTGAAGCCGACGAGAATGCCGGCAAGCGGCCTCGTGTGGACACTTATGACTCATCGCTCGCTGCTGCTGGAGGTGGGAAGAGGGACCCGTGAAGGGAACAGATCAGACTCACTCATGGCCGGCTGCCTTCCTTGTGTGATGCTCTCTCTCTCTGATGGCGGATGTGGCACTGGTGCAGCTGTAGATGGAGGTCAGCAGTTGGACCAACAGATGCGGCCCGTCATAGACTGGGTCAGCGACAGAGCCACCTGAATGGACGACACACGCAGGCACACTTGTTGGCTATGTGTATGCCCGTGTGTTCATTCATTCCGTCAGACTGACAAGGCGAATGTCCGCGGGCTGATCCCTCTGTTAAAGAAGGTCAAATCGCTCGGGGCGCAGACGGCGGCCGTGCTGTCAGAGGTGCGACCATACGTCACCCCCACACTGGCCGACAAGGTACACACACACACGTATGCGCCCATCTCCCTCTGTCTGTGAGTGCTGATGTGTGTGTTGGCAGGTGCCGGGCCTGTCGAGTAATCTTCAGACGTTGGAGCAGTCAGTCGCGTGGCGATATGACACGCTAAGGGGTCTCATCAAGACACTCGACAGCGTGGCAGTCGCCAAGCCGCCACTCCCTCAGCCCATCGCCAAGAAACCCCTCCCGCCAGACGCCAAAATATCTCAGGCACGCCACAGATCAGCCCAAACATCCACACACACGACATGTGTGCCCCTGTGTGTGTGGTCAGCTCGGTCGTCCGTGTCTGGACGGCCTGCCGCCCGACGTGGCGCACATTGTGTTGGCCTTCCTGCCCACCAAAGACGCCGCGCCCCTCTCACGCGCCAACCGACCGATGAAATATCGCGTCATCGACGACACAAGAGGCGTGTACCGCCACTTGGTCATTGGTGTGGACGAGCGAGAGTGGTGGGATAAGGGCATTCGGAGGAACGCCGGGCGGACACTCGAGGACATCGGTATCCATGGCGACATGAGGAGCGAGGAGAATGAAGAGCAGCGGGAGGGAAACGATAATAAGGGGGAGGGCGACGGGGCGGACATCAGACGGCAGAGAGAGAACGAGACGCTCAACAACCTGAAGCAGAAACTGGTGGGTGGGTGGGCGGGCGAGGACAGAACACCAACTGACATGCTATGTGTCTGTCTCTTTGCAGAGTCGGTTGCGAACAGTACACATCAGCAGTCACTGGAGGGCCCTCTCCTTCCCTCTCGAGTGCATCTCACGACACCATCAAGCGCATGAAGCTCTGCGACACCACGGGCTACCCCTTCAGCGTGCCGACATCGCCGGCCACTGTGGCCTTCTCGCAGCTGGAGGAGCTCTACATCGAACCCTGGCCACATGGGTAAGCATCAGTGTTCCTATGGTCACACCCAAGATGTGTCCTGTGACATGCGTGTGTGTGTGCGTGTGTGTGTAGCTTGGGTCTCTTCACGCGCAGAGGAGGGTGGCAGTTTCCATCTCTTCTTTACCTGCGAGTTGGGAATCGAGGCCTTTATGACCATGGTGTTAGGCTCATCCTGGAGCGTGCCCCCAAGCTAAAGTTTCTGTGTAGCAATCACACCTCTTACATGCAGCCGCTGCATGCTGCTGGAGTAATTCTGTATCCCTCCTTCTTGTTTGCAGCGATCGAGCAGCTGAGAATCACCGATCGTGAGCAGGATGAGACCTCCGTCAGGCCGAACTGCCCGCACCTCACCACCATCGAGTGGGTTCAGCTCAGAGACAGCCATTGGGGCATGGCGCGGGACTTGGGCGAGCTGAAGCGTGCTCTCGATGCGATCTGGGGGAAGGCCAGCATGCCAGGTGAGTGAGCCAGGGGGTGGGTGAGCCAGCGAGCCAGAACAGACTTGCTGAGTTGCGTTTGTGTCTCGCTGCCGGGCAGGAGTCGAGAAGAGGCTGGGCCTGCGGTGCGCTGAGGGCTTCTCGTCGCCCTTCGTGGTGCCCTTGGCCAGTGAGCTGCTCCATCCCACAGACTCTGATGCTATCGGCCTTCCAGACTTCCTCGACTGGGCATGTAAGTTGGTTGGTACAACAAAGCGACAAGTGGAGGACTGGAGAATTGGAATGCTTAGCATCTCTCTGTTGTGTGGGTGTCTGCAAGCGTCGGTGAAGTGCACGGTCGAGTGGACGGCGCGTGAGGTGGTTGTGGACTGCTCCAGGGACCTCGTCATTTCGCCTCCTGCACCCACTGGCCCCATCGCCAAAATGATCAAAGACATCAGCAGCACGGCCGATAAGGTAAGCAGCGCAGTAAGACAAGAGGCCTCCAAGAGACGAACATTCACTTCTGCTCCCTGTCTGTCTGCCTGGATGCAGGTGACTCTGCGGTGTGGCGGGAAGCCTCTGGACCAGTCTTGGGCCGGCCTGCTTTCTTTCACAAAGGCCACCACGCTATCGGTGAAGGGGCTGGGGTCGTCTCGGACCCTTTCGAGTGTGCCCCAGTGGATGGCAGCAAAGAGCGAGACCACCGGTGGCAATCGCCACCTGCCCAACATCACCAGCCTCAACCTCACAGGGGGCGACGGCTATCGGAAGCTGTGTGGTGACGTGCGTGCAGGGCTTGATGGCCTGGGTGCGTTGCTGGGCACATTAGACAGGCTCACGACAGTCAGTCTGACCCGTTTGCCGAACCTGGGTATGGCATCGTTTTGCCTGTCGCAGCTGCCCCCCACTGTCGAGCTAGAGAGTGTGTGTGTGGAGGCATCAGTGTGTCGCTCAGGGGTGCCCACCATCTCTGACTCTGCCCGATACCCTCACATCGCCTCGCTAAGTGTCGAAGTGATCGATAGCGGCACGATAGATGAGGTTGCGTCTGGCGTAGCCTTTGCCTCTGCTCTGCGGCCGGCAACCGTCTCTCTGGAAGCGTGCGGCCGTCTGAGTGCTCTGCACAATCGGGAAGGGGGTGAGAGCAGAGAGGCTTATTGCCGTTCCGTAGTCGAGCAGTGCATTGATCAGGCAGAGGAAGCCCACTATGGGCTGCTTGCCGATGAGAGCAAGCCGATTGAAGAAGACGAGGAAGGGTTCTACGAGGAGGAAGTGGGTTACTTCTCTAGTGTAGTGCTGAAGGTGGCGCGGCTGCCATCTGTTTAGCCTCTCCTGGGTGTAAACATACACACACCTCTAGCTACCTGGCTGGCTGCATGGTGATATGATAGATAGACAAATGCGGGAGGGGAGGGCGTGGGTGCTGCATGCTGCCGACGCCGTCAATGCATGTCTGTCTTTAATTCACAGCTGAATTGATCTATCTCATGCTCTTCGCTTCTCAACCACAGTGCGATGTGATGAGCGTGATCCCGCGTGTCGTGCACTGCCCGTAAGGACCATTACGTGAGTGCAATGGCGCGGGTTCAATCAAGCGTAGTACGGATGAATGAATGTGGGTCGACCCAAAAGCTACGACCGGCGCAAGAGACGCTTCTGTCTCTTCGTGAGGCCACGCAAAAGAAAGACACATTTGAAATGAATAAAGTCAGTGCTGTCTGCATCCACACACCAAGCACGGCGAGACTCGCCAACATAACTGTCATAAAACTGGTACAAAGGAGTGAAATATACAGTCACTTTCACCCCCCGACACTGAAGTTCTCTCCCCGTTTCCCTCTCACTCATTCGATGCCCAGCGGCATAAAGAGGCCGGTCCTCGACAGATGCCCAGCTGGCCCCACGCGAACTGGCAGTCCTGATCGCCCAGATGCTCGTTGAAGCCCTTGACCACACCATGCACGCCATGCAGTGCCGCCTCGTCCAGCCGGGCCCGGTGCACCACCTCACGCACACCCACCAGGCGGGGCCCCACACCATGGCTGCCCCTCACGGCGAAGCACTGCAGCGGCGGGACGGTCACCTTGACGCGCTTGTCGCCCTGCTGCTGGTATCGCGTCCCGCCCACCACCTCCCTGTTGCTGCTCGTCTGGGTGGGCCGCCGACTTGACGAAGTGGCCGACGGCCGCACCCACGCGGCGCCTCAGCAGCGACTCGCCAATGAGGTACTGGTTGATGGCGGCCACAGCAGCGGGGGGCTCGTGCAGGAAGGCGCCGATCTTCCATCCGATGGCCTCAGCCTCGTGTGGGCCGAATGCCATGTTGGATGGGGAGGGGTGGGGGTGGGCGCCGTCGTGGTGGGGGGCGAGGGGCAGCAGACGGGCGAGAAGCAGCGAGTGGTCGCGCTGGGGGGCGAGGGCGCCGTTGATGGCCGACATGACGACCTCCGACAGCTCATTCAGCACTGTGGCGTACTCGGCCAGGACCAGGTGACGATGACGGCGCTGGTCGGTTGCGGTGGGCAGGCGGGCAATCGATGGGGCCGCCCCGCCCCGCAGCAGCACACCGATGATGGTCTTGTACTGGCGGATCCATCTTGAGTGCTCCTCGCCCTGCTGCTGCTGTTGCTGGATGTGGCGATTGAGCCAGTCGGCAGCGACGGCGAGGGGTGTGTGGTTTGGCTGATTCGTCATGCCTCTGTTGACGTTGTCGGCTGTGAGATGGCGGCACAGCCAATGAGCTACACAGGGAGAGTTACGCAATGCTGCCAACTGTAGTGGCGGGATGGCCCTGTTGTCTGCTGCCGTCATATCGGCTCGGTGGCTGGTGATGAGGGTGAGGTACTGGTCGATGAAGGACTGGGAGAAGAAGCTCGAAGGGGCCATGGCTGCCAAATTCACCAGACTGTCTCCACCGGGCCCGCCCCGCTCAGCTGCGAGTGTGCTGTCGTGTTGGAGGAGCCGACGGAAGACAGAGATGGTGGCGTCCTCGTACTCACGGGTGGCGGAAGGGGCGGCACCACCGACGTAGGGAAGCCGCATCACAGCAAATCCACGCACGTCGACCTGTCGCGCCAGGAGGACCTCCACAGCCGTCAGATTGCCCGCACGAATCGCCACCATGATGGGCGTGCTAGACCCTCCGCCTCCACCCGCATTGACGTCCGCCCCGCCGTCGATGAGTGCATTGAGGATGTCATGCTGCAGCTGACGGGAAGACCACTGCGGCAGGACCACCGGCACGGAGCCATAGGCGCCGCTCTGCGCAGAGAAGGATAGGCTGTCTGTTGGGCTGTCGATGGCGAAAGACAGACATCTGTATCGCCAGTACGGGTCGTCTGTGGTGCCGCGGACGCGCAGGCCGCCGACAGCTCTCGGGTCAGCTCCTTGACGTATCAGCTGTGTGACTTGGGCGGCCTCCGTCACGGTGCGGCGAATGCAGCCCTCCAGCAGCTGGCGAGTTACAACACTGACGCCCTCATCGGGGACGATGTCGACGTCGTCCAGCCCCTTGCAGCCGTGTGGCGGCACAGCCGGAGGAGGTGCTTGTGATGCGGCAGACGACAATTGGGCCATCACAATGAGTCACACCACTGCACAAACATTGACAGGCACACACAGTCCTTGCAAGCCTTCTTCCTTCCAACGCTGCTGGCGCACCTGGTCAGTCAGTCGACGGCCGGTGGTGCTTGGCTTTTCCATCACAGTGAATCAGCTTCACCATCCGCTTCTCAACTCAACAGGGCTCAACACGGCTCGACCAACAGGGAGGTCACGCAGGCTCGGCTCCTTCATTTGTTGCCGAAGAAATCAGCTGTAGCGCTCCTTCATTCGTGCGATCCAAGCTCGCAAATTGAATCCCCAGCTTCTGCGCTGACAGGCGGCCGACACAGATCTGCTCATTGTAGGCCCTGACGTGACGTCGGTTCGATCAATTCATTTGTCGTCGATGGGTAAGAAAAAGGAGGCGGGCAGCAAGGCGGCCAAGGACGCCAAGAAGCAGAAGCAGCAGGCCAAAGCGCAGAAGAAGCGGCAGAAGGAGCTGGGCGGCGACGATGACGAAGATCTCGACGCCATTCTCGCCGAGCTGGATGCGCAGGAGGTAAGCGCCGCTGCGTGCCGACACGCAGACACCGACAGACGCAGCTGCCATGTGGACCATTGGGACGTGCTTTGATTCATGTTGGTCAGGCCAAGAAGAATGCCATCACTGTGACGCCCTGCGACCAGCCCGGGCCGAGGACGGGTGCCAGCCTCACTCTCATACCCTCGTACCCACACAGCAAGAGCGACCCATGGGCCCTACCTTGATCCATTGTGGTTCCTCAACTCGTTGCTGTCGCTGTCGTGTTTTGCTCTCTCACACAGTGGGGAGTTGGTGCTGTTTGGCGGGGAGTATTACGACGGGCAGCGGCCGCGTGTGTACAACGATCTGTACAAGTGGAATGTCGAGAAGGGCGAGTGGCGCAGGGTGGAGGGGGCGGGGCCGAAGCCACGAGTCAGCCACCAAACCGTCCTCTTCAAGTGAGGCGACAACAACAAGACAGAGAGAGAGAGAGAGAGGATGAAGAGATGAGCGTGAAGGTGCCTGGCGTGTTGTCTTTCTGTTGGGTTGCAGGGACGACTTATATGTGTTTGGTGGCGAGTTCTGCACCCTGTATGAGTTCCACCACTTCCGCGACCTCTGGCGCTTCGATTGCAAGGCCAACGCCTGGAGTGTGGTCGAGACGACCGGCACATCGCCATCGCCCAGAAGTGGCCACAGAATGGTCGGTCGGGGGAAGAGGGCGGCACCACACAGACACACACACACACACACACACACACGAAGGCAGAGAGGTGGATGAACGTATGTTGCTGTCCCTGCTGTATCGATCTATGTGTGTGTGCGTGTGTGCGTCAGGTTGTGTGGCGCAATTTCCTGGTCCTGTTTGGGGGTTTCTACGAGACGGTTCGCGAGACGAAGTACTTCAACGATCTGTACTACCTCAACCTGCAGAACCTGCAGTGGACCAAAGTCGAATACGGGCCTCACGAACAGGTGGGTGATTCATGACGCACACACACGTATGTGGGTGTGTACCAGGGGGGTGGAGGGGGAAATGAGTGTGTTAGCCCTCTCTCTCTCTCTCTCTGTCCGTGTGTCCGTCTAGGTGCCTGCCCCTCGCTCAGGGACGTTGATGTGTCTGTATCCCGGCGGCGACTGCCTGTACATCTATGGTGGCTACTCTAAGAACAGAGATGCCGGCAAAATTCACCAGGTGAGTCCTCCATGGCTCAGTGGCGAATCCGTGCACCTCCCTCCTTCTCTGTTTCTGTTGTTGACGCATTCAGGACTGTTGGATGTTGAACCTGAAGCCTCTTGCTGGCGGCGGTGGCAGGCCCCACTGGGAGCGGGTCGGCAAGAAGGGCAACCCACCATCAATTAGAGCAAGTACCCACACACAAACACACACACAAGCAGCATGAGCAGTCCCCTCCCCTCCACCCTTCACTGGCCCGGTTCGTCTGTTCATTCGTGTGTGTGTGTGGTCAGGTGCGTCATCGGTGGTGCACAAGAACCTGGCCATTGTGTTTGGCGGTGTGTACGACGAGGACGACGGCGGCCTCTCCATGACGTCGGTCTACTACAACGACCTCTACGCCTTCGACATGGAGAGAAGGTCAGTGACATGACCCCACACAAGTCCTTTGTGCCGTGCTCTGCTCTTCCTGCATTTGTACGTGTGTGCAGGCGCTGGTACCAGCTTGCTCTGCGGAAGAAGGCGTCAGACCAGGCCGACAAGAAGAAGAAGCGCACGCGGAAGAAGGCCAAAGGTCAGCTGGATGGCGGGGGCAATCTTAAGACGCACATCCGTTAACCACAACTGATATTTGTTTCCTCCCTCCCCAAAACCCGCGCAGATGGTGCGTCGGAGGTGGACGAGTCAGAGGCGGGTGATGGCGGTGAGGAGGAAGAGGACGATGAGGAGGATGACGAGATCATCCGGGACGACGATGACGACCTCTTCGTTGCCAAGGTGGGGAGGCGGAAACCAATGCATGAGTGTGTGTTGTGTGACGGATGTCATGTGTCATGTGTCATGCGCTGTGCGTGCAGGAGGGGACGTTCGGATACATCGATCAGTTTGGCAAGCTAGTACGGATCAGAATCGATGGTAGAAAAGGCGACCACACAACCAACACACCCAGACACACCAGCCAGCACGTGGGTGAGATCCCTCCCCTCTCCCCTGTTGTCAGATGCCGACCTTCCCCCCGACCTCGACGCAGCTCTCGAGGAGAGCAAGAAGGCCGACACACAGGCAGCACCCACAGAGGGCGACACGCCATCACAGCAGGACACGGAGCCCTCCACAGACCAGCCCACAAGCCCAGACACAGACGAGAACAAGGGTGACGAAGATCAAGATGAAGGAGAAGGAGAAGACGGTGAGGGCGACGAGGGCGATTGGGTGACCAACCAGCTGAAGCCGGAGGTGGACACGCCCCTCCCGCGCATCAACGCCATGCTGGCCATGAAGGGGCACACTCTGTATGTGTATGGCGGCTTGGTGGAGCTGGGCAAGAGGGAGGTCACGCTTGACGACTGCTGGGCACTCGACCTCAACAAACGGTAGGTGGGACGGTGCGGCAGATGGCGGATTGCACTGGATGGATGTCGCCCGTGTGTGTGTGTGTCAGTGAGAAGTGGGAGTGTGTGTTGAAGGGCCGACTGGACGAACAGACGTGGCTCGACGAGTCCGACGATGAAGATGAGGAGGACGAGGGAGACGAATCCGACAACGGCGACGAGGTATGTGCTCAACAGACTACGCACACTACACACAACAGGCATACACACACCCACGTGCATTTGCTCTCGCCCTGCAGGGCGATGGTGAGACCGATGACGAGAGCCAGCGTGCGGGCAAGGGCAAGGCGGGCGACATCAAGTCCATCCGTGAGGAAATGACCAAGCTCAAGGTACGGCAGCTGACATGGACCCCAAGAAGGGAATCAGTCAGTCTGTCTGTCTGTCTAATGGATGGATGGCTTCATGTTGATGCAGGAGCAGCTCAACGTGGATGACCTGAAAACCACTCCTCAGCTGGGCGAGAACCTCCGTCACTTCTTCGAGAGAACCAGGGACCACTGGACCGACCTCTTCATCAAAGGTAACCACACACACGCGCCAAACCACCACACGCAACACATGACCTACGACATATGACACACGAAGCGCAAAACACAACGCATCCATGCCATGTCGCTCTCCTTCTCCCTCTGCTTGTTGCAGAGGAGGCCGCTAAGGCCGAGGAGGCGTCGAGCAGCTCGAGCGAGCCGCCCCCGGTGCGGCACCACCGCGACGTCAAGGAGATCCGTCGTGAGGCCTTCGTGTTGTGTGAGGAGCGGTATGAGGCGCTGCGTCCGCTGCTGCGTCGGCTGGCCGAGCTTGAGGAGGAGCAGAACGAGTGGGAGGCGGTGGAGGGCAAGAAGGCAGGGGCGGGAGCTGCTGACAGAAGGAAGGGCGGCAAGTAGAGTGAGTGCCTGCTGGAGGGATGGGTGGGGGTTAGTGAGTGGGTGGCTATTGGTGAGTGGCTGGATCGATGACATCGTTCGTGTGTGTGGGGCAGTCAGCCATGTCCAGGCGATTGGCGGGGATCATTGACCTGGCTGTCAGAAACAAAAGGAAACCCTGCCCTCTATTTGGCAACGCACCCAAACGGAAAGGCGTTTGCGGCTGCAGGCCAGCGAAAACGAAAACCTTCCTTGTTTCTCCAGCTTAAAGCTTTCCCTTCCCCCGAAAGCAGCTAGCCCTCCCGTCCGCCTTCCTGCCTGCCCAGCCCAGCGTCGGGTACCCTCCCTCCCTCCTCCCCCTGTCGAGGGGCGCTCCACGATGACGTCCGTCACGCGCTTCCCCTCCTCATTTTTCCTCCCCGCCCTCGCCCTCGGCTGCCTGGCCCTCCTCGCCTCCCTCTCTCTTGCCGACAAGCCCCCTGCCAACCTCAGGGAGCTCACCTTTGGCCACGACAAGAAGGCTGACCAGAAGCCGCCACAGGAGCACAACGGCAAGGACAAGGAGCAGAACCAGGAGGAGAAGCCGGAGGAGCCGAAGCCGGAGGCGCCGCCCAAGGCCGATGACGACAGCGAGGCCAACGGCGGGTGCTTCAGCGCGGTGGAGACACCACAGTTTGAGGTGGCCGAGTGCTCCGAGGCCGACCGTCAGTTCACCGTGAGCAAACCCGACGACTACAAGAGCGGCGAGGACGCCATCGAGGGCTCCCTCCGCGAGCAGCTCGACAAGGTCAGCAAGGCCGAGGGCAAGGGTCTCTTCTGTGTCTGCCTCGACTTTGCCGGGGACGCCACGATCAAGGCGCTCGAGAAGTTCGAGCTCAACGTCGACGACAAGGAGGTCATCCTCAGGACACCGGGCGGCTCCAAGGCAGCCGTCACGGTGAGCGCGGCTGAGATCACCGACGGCGCGGCCTTCGAGATCACCGTCACCAACAATGGCGTCCTCACCTTCGGAGGGTACGCACGCTCACATCTCACGACACACACAGGGGAAGGGACGGAGGGAGGGAGGGAGGGTGAGGTTGTGACGCCGTGCTCACTGTTGTGCTGTGTGTGTCTTGTCTGGTGTGGTGTGGTCTGGTGTGGTGTGGCGGTGTGCAGGTTCACTGTTGCTGACAAGGACGGCCTGGAGGCCTCAGCGCTCGCCGTGGAGGGCGACGGTCTCTTCCAGACCTACGGCATGAGGTTCACGGGCAACCGCGCCATCCGGGGCGGCTCCATCTCCCTCATCGAGACCGGCTACCTCGACTACGGCAGCACCTTCAGCAACAACGAGGTCACCACCGTGGGTGCGGCCATCTACGCCCAGTCGGTCGACAAGATGGCCATGGAGGGCTCCACCCTCACCGACAACAGGGCCGGTGGCTCGGGTGGCGGCATCTACGTCTTCAACACAAAGTATGAGCTGGTCAACACCAAGTTCGTCAAGAACATCGCTGGGGGCAAGGGCGGCGCCATGGCCGACTTCTCCTCGGGCACCTCGCAGATCGGACAGCCGGGCTACCTCAAGGACGTCACCGTTGCCGACAACGAAGGTACGTGGGTGGTGGGGTGGCTAGGGACACAACAACACACCATGCTCATGCCTCGTGTGTGTGTGTGTGTGTGGTGTGGTTGTCTTGTCTGTGTGCAGGTGGTGGTGTGTACAAGTTCGGTGGCGCCAAGCAGCTGACTGTCAACAGCACCACGTTCAGCAACAACAAGGCCAACGACGGTGACGGCACCGGCGCACTCGTCGTCGAGGGCGGCGCCAGCCAGCTCACAAAGGCCCTCCAGGTCGTGCTCAGCACCTTCGCCGGCAACGAGGGAGGCGCCATCAAAAGTACACACCACACCCCACACGAACCGATGCACGCACACACACCTGCCTGGATGCCTGTTTCTGCTTGCCTTGTGTGTGTGTGTGTGTGTGGTGTGTATCAGCCATCCGGACCACTGCGTCAGTGATAGCGTCGACCATCACCAACAACGAGGGGCCCGCCGTGTCCGCCGAGGCAGGAGAGATAGTCCTCGAGAGCACGTGAGAACAGCACACCCAACACACACACACCAGCCCCCCACTAGTGGCCATCTCATTCGCCCGTGTGTGTGTGTGTGTGTGTCCTCTCCCTCCTCTCCCTCTCTGCCTGCCTGCCTGCCTGCCTGCCTGTGTGCCTTCCTTCAGGATCAACATAGACAACATTGACAACATGGACTGTGCGGTCAACAGCTCGAGCACCATCAGCATGTTCGGCGTCAACATGTTCCGCGCCAACGGCAACTGCGAGGACAACGGGTTCAACAACGTCGTCCTCGGCGACAAGGACAAGGCCTGCCTCGGCGACCTCTCCGACATGGAGGGCGTCTCCGTCCAGGTCGTCCCTCTCGACACCTGCTCACCCGCCATCAACGCCGGAGACGTCATCCCTCTCGAGGAGCTCCCATTGGACGTCGCGGGCCAGGTCAGGGGCGGCAGCCCCGATATCGGTGCCGTCGAGTCCGACAAGGAGGACGACAGCCCCAAGCAGAAGCGCGACGACAAGGGCAAGGGCAAGCCAAAGCAGGAGCCAAAGGAGGATGACGAGAAGCCCGAAGACGAGCAGCCAGAAGAGGACGAGCAGCCCAAGGAGAACGATGACGGCGAGAAGAAGTCACCGCCCAAGAAGCGTGACGACGACAAGAAGCCCAGCGACGAGGGCGACGAGCCCGAGTGCGATGTCCCCAAGTGCGGCAAGCCGCCTGTGGATGATGAGGATGAGGAGGACGAGCTGCCCAGTGAGGAACCCGACTTGCGTGATCCCGACGACGACGAGGAGGACACCGGGGTGAGTAGTGAGACAACACGGGCGGGTTGTGGCCAGGGTTGCGTGTGCCATGCTGGATGGGTGTCTTCACACCTCACTGACACGCCTTTCTGGCTGGCTCTCTGCCTATTGTGTTTTGTGTGTGCAGCCCAAAAAAACCACCACCACCACTACCAAGAAGCCCCCCAAAACCACCACCACCACCACTACCAAGAAGCCCCCAACCACCACCACCACCACCACCACCACCAAGGCGCCACCAACGGAGCCACCAAAGAAGTGCGCGGCGTACATTGGCATAGAGTACGGCAAGAAGGGCACATTCAAGGCCAAGGAGCTCTTCCCCGCCCTCGTGGGCAAGACTCTCGTCAAGTGCAAAATCACCGGAGGATACTTCCCGTAAGACAACAGACACAAGACACACCGGACAGACAGACAAGACAATCACCGCACACGCCCATCCTCTCTCCCCCTTCCCCCTCTCTCTGTTGTGTGGTTGGTTGGTGTGCGCAGGACTGAGAGACGTGAGCTGACCTACGGCTCGTACAAGCACTACAAGCACGGCGGCCACTTCCTGTCGCGCGGCTACCACAAGAACAACTACTACTACAGCCAACCGGCCGCCCCCGCCCCCAGCTACAAGTCTCTCTCCGTGACGTGTGGCGGCGAGTACGTGAGCTGGGACTGCGCCGACTACAAGAGCACCTACGTGTTCGTGCTGACCTACCATTACTACATGGGGGAGCGGCTGAGGCAGCTCACGTGGGGCTATGGCAGCCATGGGTACCATTACAAGAAGCATCGCAAGCACGGCTACAGGAACAAGCACTACTACAAGAAGCACCACGGGTGGCACTACAAGCCCCACTATGGTGGCGGCTACTACTACCCACCCACACCCAGCTACCCCACCTACTCGGAGGACTGCCACGTCACCGTTGCTTGCGCCTGAGGTGGTCGATGGGATGGGGCGAGGGAGGGGGGCGGGGGCGGGGCGGGGCTGAGTGTACATAGCGTGTAGTTGATGGACGTGATGGACCGGGTGGGCTGGGCGGGGCCTCTGTGTCTGTGGTTCCTTTCCTTTCCTTTGCTTTTCCTGTTTTTCTTTTTGTTTCCTTCACCATCTCAACTGGTTTGTCTGCGTAGACACCACTCGCCTGCGCCTGCCTGCCTCCCTGCCTCCCTGCCTGGTGTGCCTGTCTGGTGTGCCTGCCTGTCTGTCTGGGTCGGTGCGTTGCGGTGCGGCATGTGATGTTGCGTGGGTGTGGGTGTGGGCGGTGGGGGCGCTTGTCGAAAAGACAATAGACGCCGAGTGCGTACCTAAAGTGTAGAGTGCATACGTAGCCAGCAAAGAAAGAAACAAGTAGAGCAGCTAGACGGATGGATGGATGGATCATCGCACAGAACATGCGTGTCGTTGCGTGGGGGTGGTGTTTATATGCGTTGTCTATATCCATGCAGTCAGTCAGTCAGTATGTGTGTGCAGCACATTCATTGTGTGTAGTCGGCCGGCCGTCAATTGCATGTCTTGGACTGAACGTCTCTCTGCCTGCCAGTGAGTGGGTGTTGTTAAACGACATTCACAAACCTGCCTGCTGCCATTTTGTAATTCGCTCACTTGCTCCCACTCACTTTCACTCACTTTCTGGATCGTCGAGCGGCGCGAAACAAACGAAGAAAAGGTCTCTGTCTTTGTTTCAGTGTCTCGTGTGTGCGATGCCTGCGCGTTCCTTTTGTCCAGCCAGGGCAGGCCTTTGGGAACAGAAAGGAGGAGAAGAAAGACCTGTCGCCTCTCTTGCGTCGTCTTGCATACATACCTCCATGGCACATTGCGGCGGTGTGGTGTGGCGTGGCGTGGTGTGGTATATTTGGTTCTTTTCGTTTCCTTCTCGTTCGAACATGCTTTTGTTTTCTCTCTCGCTGCTCGCCTGCCTGTCTGCCTGTCTGCCTGCCACTCGGGCCGGTGGCTGCCCTGCCCGTCTTGTGCGCCTCGCACGTTTATGTACGTCCATCAAGTCATTATTCAATAATAATGCACACACGCACTGCAACCTACCTACGAAAGGTGTAGCAACGCGAAAGCGACACAAACCAGCCAATCGGGAAGGGATGGCGTGGCGTTGTTTTTTGGCATGTGTGTACTTCGGTGGTGTGATTGTGGTGTTGTGTGGTTTGTAAGTGTGTGGTGTGGTGTGTGTAAGTGTAGGCAGGTGTTGTAGTGTTCATTCATTCATTCATTCATTCTCTCATAAGTATTGTATTACTCATGTCATGTGATGTCATGTCATGTCATGTGTTGTGTGTGTTGTGTGGCTTGCTCTGCTCGCTCACGTGCACCGTACGGGTACATACATACATTTTGTGAAGGGTTTGTGGTGAGAGGGGAGGGCAAGGGGAGGGGAGGGGAGGGGAGGGGGTGTGAAGAGGAACAGGGGGAAGGGGAGAGACGCAAGAGCAATGTCAAAAGGAGAGACGCAAGAGCAATGTCAAAAGAATATGAGTGTCCACCAATGTCAGTCATGTCTAATGAGCGAGCGAGGGGGGCGGGGGCTCTTCTGTCCATATCTGCCTGTCTGTCTAGTCCATATCCTCATCTGTTTATCTCTATCTCTATATATCTGCCTACCTGCCTGTCTGCCTGCCTGTCTGATCTCACTTTCCTTGTCTTGTCTTATCGCATCTGGTGTCTAGTTGGTGTGACGTCCTCTCCTCCTTGAGTGCTCGTGCGTTGCGTGCCGTGTCTCTAGTCCATTTGAGTTTTTTGGGGTGACGTGAGGTGGATGGATGAGTCCATCCGGGCTGTCGGGTCGATCACTAGTAGGCCAGAGAGACAGAGGAGAGGAGAGCAGAGGAGAGAGAAGAGGACAGCAAGAGAGACAGAGGAAAGATGTGGCCGGGATGGGTGGGTTTTTGTCATGTAGAACACGGCAAAGAATGTGTGTGGTGTCGGGCGGGATGGCTGGCTGGCTGCGTACGGTCCTGTACCTAATCGAATCGTGTGCATAGCGTAGTTGCTCACCTCAGCTTAGCTTTGCTTAGCTAGGGACGTAGGACGTGTTCACTCACTCACTCACTCACACTCACACTCACACTCGCTCGCTCAGTTGCTACTCGCCTGCCCCGGAATTTGCGCCATCCATCCATCCACCAGAGAGCGATGGATTCCACCCCCGCCCCCTCCCCACCATCCCATCCACACATGTACGTGAAACATAGGTGGATATGTTGACCCCGTGACACGTACCTATCGCACGCACAGCCCAGCAGCCCGCTCAGCAAATATCTTAGTTTCCGCATACTCGCCCTCGGTCAGTCGCTCCCTCGCTCCCTCGGACGGGTTTACACTTTCTGGTTTGATTTCGATGCTGTCAGTTTTCCTCTTATGGAACTCACATCCATCACCTCACTCACTCTCTGCTGGTATTTTTGTAAGCCGTTGCGAATGCATGTGTGTACGTATGTCGATGTGTGGGATGCTGTCTCAGTCTTGTGGTGCATGGTGTGCGCTGATGTGTGTGGGCCTGCCATGCCATGCCGTGCAACCTCCCTCTCGGACTGACTCGGGTGGATGGTCTCGACTCCACGAGACGACAGACTCTGGCCGGCCAGTGAGTCAATGAGTGATGAGAGCATCATGATGCACATACAGTACGCCCGAATCTGTCAGCCCCCCTGCCCACCTACACGCCAAGCTAGTCTGTCAGCCAGCCCCATAACTACCCGGCCACAAACACATCACCATCACGGCTACCCAATCCATCCATCCATCCATCCATCCATCTAGTTGTGTGGCTGGCCCCCCTTCCCCCCTACCAATCCCCCGCCCCCGCCCCCGGCCCCTCCCCGTGGCGACTTCGAGCCCACGATGATGCGCTTCTTCTGCTTCTTGGGTGTCTTGTTGGACTTGGTCGCTGAGGGAAGGCTGGCTTGGGGCTGGTATGGCTCCTCGTCCATCTGCCGCTCCTTCATTCTGGCCAGCTGCTCGGCCTGCTGCCTCTGGCGCTCCACCTCATCCTCGGCTTTGGCTAGATTGGCATACAGCAACGAGAGATCACTGCACAAATGCAGGCAGGCAGACAGGCAGACAGAGAGAGAGAGAGACATGACAAAATGGATGGATGGATGGATGTGTGTGGGGCTGGTGGGGATCGGCAACGGACGGTGGGCGTAATGCACCTGAATGCGATGGCGTTGAGTTGTGCGGGGTCGCCCAGGTCCTCTTCTAGCGCAGCGTTGAGCTGCACACATCACATGAATGAATGAATGGATGGCCACATCATTCACACACACAGATGGTCGCATTGCATTCCTCTCATCCCTGTCTGTGGTTGGTTTGTACGGTGTAGTTGGCTTAGCTTACGGTGTTGACGGCCTCGGGGTTGGCCTCGTTTGCGGCGTCGAGTACCTTCTTGGTGGCTGCAGAGTCGGGCTCCTCGATGTTGTGGATGAGGTTCTTGGTCTCATCCTTGGTGAAGTAACTGCACAGCACATGACAGTCACGTCACACGACAGACAGACAGACAGACATGGATGGATGAATGGATGGCATTGGATGGATGGATCTGTGTGTGTGTTTGTGTGTGTGTGTGGGTGGGGTGCAGCACAGACCGCATCTGTTTGGGTCTCTCGAGTGCGGCCTTGTTGATGCCGGCCTTGTGCACCTGACGCCTGCGAGAGTGTGTATCCCAGAGTGTACGTCACACGAATGCGATGCGTGGTTTGTTGTGATTTGGATGCAGCACCACCACACCCGCTGGCTGACCGGACCTGAACATCTTGTCCTCAATGCCGCCAGTGGCCATCAGACGATACGCTACCACCACAGGAGCCTGCACAGGACGCACACCACACAGACACAGACACGCATACATCCGCATACATCCGTATGCGTGTAAAGTACACACCTTGTGTCGCTCTCTTCGTGTCGTGTGTGGTGTGTGGTGTGGGTGGTGGGAGTGGAATGACCTTCTGTCCATATCGGTTGATCCTATCTACGGCTTGGTCATCGGCAGAGGGGTTCCAATCTGGCCGGTCGGTCGGGTCGCCACACACACACATGAAAGTTTGTTTGTCTATGTGTGTGTATTGCAGCTGAGCTGCTCAGCTCACCGGGGTCCATGATGATGACCCGATCGGCAGACACCAAATTCAACCCGTGGCCACCAGCTGCGTCACGTGCGGGATGTGATTGTGATGACACACACAGACAACACAATGAATGAATGTCCCCCGTGTGCTGTCTTGTGCTGTCTGTGCATGTGCAAATTCATTCGATTCGTCCATTACATCTGGTGGTCAGCAGCATGCACTTGTACTTCCTCTTGGTCTTGAACCTGCACACACACACACACACACACGCGCACATAGACGTCATGACGACACACAATGGCATGGCAGCAGCCGCCTCTGCACTCACTGCACACGCACCTCTCCTGCCGCTCGGCCCGCTTCTTGGCGCTGACGGAGCCGTCGATGCGCAGGTACTTGATGGACGACGGGAGCAGCACCGCATACTCAAGCAAATCCAGCCTGACACACACACACACAGAGGGCCATCCTGTGTTTGTGTGTGTGTGTGGGTGGATGGTGTCATAAATGACTTACAGGGTGGTCGACCGCGAGAAGACCAGCGTGCGATGGCCGTTGGCCTGACAGTGTGCGCCAAACAACACACACATACACACACACACACACACGCGTGTCTCTGACCCGTGACACATGCAGGCGTGTCTGTCTCTCTGTCTCGCTCGCGTGCCTTGTGTTGTTGCAGGATCTTCTGGACCGTCTGAAGTTTCTCCGAGTAGCTGAGCACCGCCTCGGGGGTCTGATCCAAATCGTAGATGTACTGACACTGACACAACCCACAACACAACACAACACAGCACAAACACCCACACAGACAGACACACACACATGCATATCACATGCATATCAGTGAGAAGATTCCACTCGACTGGACTGCCTACGATCTCGTCGTCCATCTGTTTCCGTCTCTCCCGCGCACTGCCGTCCTCCTCCTCGTCTATGTCGTCCTCGCCTTTGTCGTCCTCATCGGGCTTGCGGCCCTTCTGGATGGCGCCCTCGGCCCACCGCCCGAACTCGTCCATGGCCTCGGGGTCCACCTCCTCGCCACGCCGCTCCGCCAACGCCAAGCGCCACGGCTGCCGCATCACGTCCTCCTTCCTGCACATAATGAGGCGTGTTGTGTGTTGTGTGGAGAGGGTGGAGAGAAGGGTGTAATTGTGCGTACAGCAGCATCATGAAGGGGTGCATGCAGACCTTCTGCAGCTTCGTCACGGCCTGGATGAAGGAATGAAGGATTCTTGTGCTGTGTGGGATCGGATGGGTCAGTCGTGTGTGTCAGGCTGCCTGCACACTCTTGATTGATTACCTTGAGCACTTTGCTGTAGTGGTCGCCGGCGCCCTGCTTGAAGGCCTTGGCGTCGTTCATCTCACTCCCCTGCAGATACATGCCGTACAGCTACACACACACACACACACACACACACACACAAGTAAAGGAATGCGATTGTATGAAAACCTTCCCTCTCTCCTCCCTCTCTCCCTATCTCTCTCTCAGCGCACGTCTGGTCACGTACGTGGAGCTGCTGCTTGGACAGTCTATGCCAGACGACCACGTCATGCTTGGTCGGCATCGCCTGTCGATCCTCAGCCTCGAGGTCCTTCGTGGTCCGCCGCAGCATGTGGCGCTTGATCCTGGACCGCAGCGACGTGAGCAGCGCCTCGGCCTGGGCCTCTGACACAGACAGACAGACAGGGGGACAGGGGGACAGGGGGACATTGGATGGATGGATGTGTGTGGGGGTGTGAGGGGTTGTGAGTGTAGTTACTCTCCAGTGGCCGTGCGTCACTGGGTGCGCCTGAAATGATGGATGGATGGAGAGGGAGGGAGGGAGGGACGGAGGCACAGGCATCCATGCTTGAACCTGCCCGTCTGCCTGCCTGCCTGCCTGCCTGACTGCCTGACTGCCTGACTGCCTGACTGCGCACGCACCCCTCTCGATGGGCTTCCAGTAGTCAGTCTGACAGACAGACAGACAGACATGGGGGGATGACAGACCAAAGGCACACACACAGACCTCGAACGTCTTCTGGTTGCCGAGGAGGCCGGGCTCGGCGAAGTTCATAAGCGACCAAAACTCTTTCAGGTTGTTCTCAATTGGCGTGCCTGTCCACACACAGATGAGAGAGAGAGAGAGAGAGACAGAGAGAGACAGAGAGAGACAGAGATCGAGAGATCAGCGCCTCCCCCCAGCCCCCATACCCACCCCACCAGTGAGGAGGAGCCTGAATTGTGTTTTCTCGTCTTGGGAGGCCCTGCAGATGGTGTTGATGGCCTTGCTCCTCTGCGTGCCGGGGTTCTGAACACCCAACACATACACTCACACACACGCACTCCGCCTGTGTGTCTGTGTCAGTCGGTGGCCGATCCACCCACCTTGATGGCTTTTGAGGCCTCGTCGAGTATGACGACGTCCCACGGCACCGCTCGGCTGTTCTCGCTGACCGTGAGCGCCTCCCTGCCCTCGCCAACGTCGAGCATGCCGATGTTGGCCTTGGTGAGGTACTGCGCGCTCTCCTTGAACGTGTCGTAGGTCGTCACCAACAGACCTTAAAACACACACACACACACACACACACTGTGCGACGGTGTGTTGGTGTCTCGTGTCGTTATGTGGTTATTACGCTTCCCGCGATTTCCAGAGGCGAACATGCCGCGCAGCGCCTTGCTGTCGGCAAGAAAGATAGATCCACAGACAAAAAGAAGGTGGAGGTGTGCCGTTTCTTCTTCGGTTGGTTATCAGCTTACTGCTTCTCCTGGTGACTGCCGTGGAATGTGTAAACCTGCACACACGGGCGGACGATAAACGAAACACACACGGCCACTTCCCGCTCTCTCCCTCCCTCCCTCCCTCCCTGCCTCTCATGCATTTGAACACCTTCCACTTTGGGCACCAGATGGGGAACTCTTTCGTCCAGTTGTCCTTGCTGGTGAGCAGGCTCGTCGTCAGGATGACCAGCGCCGTCTTGGCCAGGTTGCTCTCACCCAGGCCGCCGAGGAAGGCGAGTGTCTGGACGGTCTTGCCGAGGCCCATCTCGTCCGCGAGAATGCCTGATGGGTTCATTTGTGCCAGAAAAGCGAATGCATGTGTGTGTGGGGG